TATATTACAAATATATTTGCTTCATTGGAAATCAAGATTGACTTCTTTATTTTAAGAGCTCTGAAAGAAAGCCAACTGTGTTTGTAGCACAATAAACCCACAAGGTTCATGAATGTTTTCTTCGATTGACTGTCATTTGCCATTTTTGCAGCTCTATTGTTGACATTGTCCAAGAACTACAATCTTTGTACCCACTCTGGTAGCCAATTAGAACACAGGATTCAATTCATACTGCCCACAGGTACTACCAGTGATACAATATATAATTTAAAATGCATCATCATCAACATCACTGTCATCACACTATCATTAACGTCAACATTATCATCATCGTTACAACACTATCAAATAAATTTTAATTTATAGCACATCACTTGGTACCAGTACTTTAAATTTGAAATGTGAAGATTATAAGACTAATTGGAGCTTCTTCACTGAGGATTTAAGGATTTTAGATGACAAAATTTAAGTTTTGTATACATTGGACACGACCACCCAAGCAATCATTGCTTGCTTGTATATAAAGGTTTATGGTTATAAACTGGCTCACTCAAACATTGAATGGTCAATAACAATATTACTTACAATGTACCACTGCTCCTGAAATCTTGGGTCTGTTCTCGACAATAACTGGTATTTTTTCAGCTTCTGATGCATAAACCATTCAACCTAAATATCAAAAATGTAGTAAATGTGGTGACTCAGTGGTTAATCATTGTTTTAAGCTATATAGAATTTCCTCATTTATTGTGGAATTATTAGTATAAGAAGTTCTCTTTTTCTTAAAAGTGGTTGGCTTCCTTGTTGCAAGAAATAATGATAAGTGCAGAGGAACCCTTTTTACAGCTAGAGCATCTGCCTCAAGTAGGTTTCAAACAAATTGTGCATTATAACTAACCATACCACAAAGGTTGGATCGTTTGGGGTGACCATATTGGTTCTCCTCCATCCTAGCATTAGCACTGCACTGATGAGGCCCAGAAGGCCGAAACAGTACTGTCTGCAGTTAGTTATATATATATAANCCATCGAGTTTATACGAGTAAAATAAAGGCTGCCGTGAAATACAACCTTTCCATGACAAGTGTTACCACGCAAAGTTAAAACATTCAAGGTTACTGAAATACTTTCCCAACATTCACGACAGTTTTGTTCTAAATGGCACGTATGCATACATTAACAGAGAAATTTCTTTGATCAGTTCTAAAAACCTCAGAGTTAACTAAATTAACAGTAATTTGAAAATTTTTAGGTTCTTTAGCTTAACTTTTTAAAAGAGATAAGGAACTTCAGAATACCCGTCCACATCATTTACATATGTCGGGAGGCTTTGAAGAATGAGGTACAACACAATAGACGCTATTCTTATTTAATGACATGTAAATGCTGGCCGGGTATTCTGAAGTTTAGCTGAGATAATCTAATATGTTCCACATAACCCTAACCTCCGGCAATGGTTTTCAACACAATATAAAGAAATACTTCTACTAACCATTTCCACCGAAATAAAGGCGTTGCATGAGTATTTGGTAAAAAAAAAATTCACCAGCGTGAACTAATTAAAACAAGAGAATTAAGACAAGCGACATTTTTCTTAAGTCCTTATATGAAGCTCAAAGATGATATGTTCCGTGCCGAGATTGGTGTAAAATTTAAAGGTAAAAGTTAGCGATCACCTTTTGAGTCCAAACGCGTCAAAAAGAAGCAATTCGAGGTGCCAGTCACCCTGTGTGAGCAAAACAGAAGAGTCTTGCATTTTTTAAAACGAACTTGTGACAATTTTTCAAGATACTCAAGTACAGACGGCAAAACCACATCGTCTGTGTAGTAGCCCGTACATACTGTATATGTCAATTGAGATTTGATGAAACGCGCAGGTCGGGCTTAAAATCGGTGTCTCAGTTGGGATTATCCAGAGAATTACAAATTCGATAAAACTCTTGTACGATCAGCTTTACGACATGAGTTTAACGAAAAAGAAAAAACAGACAGATAAAACTTTCTTTCGTAGCCATGTGCCTAAAGTTGGGCAGTACTTACATGTTTGTCGTAGGAAAAACCATGTTTCAGGGCTACTTTCTCGACCTCTCGCTGACCACCTCGGATTTTCACGGCCCAGACATTTGTGAAGATCTCATTGGCAAAAGTATTGGTTACGAAAAAGAATATAAGAAATAGTAAAAAACTCGAAAATCTAGCCATCGCAGTGCTGACTTGGTCGCCAAATTTCTGTAAACATCTGTAAACGTGATCATATTTTGACTTCCCTTCTTCTGGTACGTGATTTCGGTCAAGGCTGAGTGACCTGGCATGCAATACGGTAGGATTGGTAACAATGAAGAAGCTATGAATAGTTATTCCAAACATCACGTACGTGCTTTATCGTAAGGGATATTAATAAACATTTTACCGTTCATGGGAAAACAAGGCTTTTGTTTATGAAAAAGTCCACTGGTTTAGGGTAGGGTAGGATCATTCTCTTCTATATACGGATCTCAAGAGCGGAAAAATGACACAATTTTTCCTGTGAGAGAAACTGGAAACTTAAATGTTGTGTTCGATTGTTAGTTAAGTATAAATCGTGATCACAACCTGAACATCTAAAGAAGTGCATACCGCAGAAAGATGCGAGAGCACATCAGTTAGACTACGGGTTGTAGTCTAGATTATGAGTTTCTCAATGAGATGGTTGTACCGAAAACCTTGTTCAAACGGACTTCATGCAAAATTTACTCTTCTAAAACGACAGAATATAACATGTCTGTGTTGCCGACCATTGTTCAGTATGCAGTGCATTGTTTCAGTAAATGTTTTGTTATCGCGGCTGGGTCCATGAAATAAAGTGGCATATTTTTGAAAAGTAAATCTTGTTTTTCACGATCGATTGATACATTTCCCGCGTGATATGTAACTAACGAATTGCCCGTCTCGCTAGTTTATCCTCTCGTGCTGAAACGGAACTACAGAGGACAGTTGTTGACTTTTTACAATTCCGATGGATTCTTTCCTGCATCAATCACTTCTAAACATGAGTACAGTATGCTTAGCTTCAGTTAGTTGTTAAATCTTCTGGCTGAAAGAAAACAAATAAGGTATAAAAAAGAAAAACACTTGAAAGTGACTCTTGAGACTGGTAGAAGAATTTGGTTATTAAAAAAACCAACAGCGACACAACAAAAACAAAGGTGGAAGGGTCATGCAGAAGCGTGACAGAATGACTTGACAAGCGCTTAACAATAGCGCTTTATACTAATGACGTCATGAATTTTTAGACCCCCCGCGTGACTCAGACAAGCAAACTCCACTTCTTTGAGAGCTACAAGGGAAATGGCGAGTAGTTTGCTTATTCCCTTACAGTTCTGACCGAAGAGGACGGCGTTCCTGGCTCCAAATTTGAGAGAGAACCGGAAGAATACACTGTAGACCAGCTAAAACGGTGGTTAAAATGTAGGGGCTTAAAATTAAGCAGTAAACGAGAAGATCTTGTATAGACTGTGTGAGATGCGGGAATTATCACACCCTTGATCCGGCGATCGATCATGGAAAATGGTTTGCTGCCAGAGTTCTTCAAGAAAATTCTGATGTAAACAATGTAAAAAGGGGGTTGACAGGCCTACACGACTCCCCAGCGCGTGTTTAGAATAGCCTATTCAAAGTTTGGCCCTCACGAGTATGTCTTTGAGCGATCGCCCTCTTTTGTAAGATACGAGCGGCGGATTTTTGTATATTTCGCTCAATACTGGTTGTGTTTCTATTAAATGCCAGTTCATGTAGTTTATGTAGTTAATGTTCATGCAGTTGTCATTGAATAATTTCTGTTTCTTTGACGCTGAATTTTCTCTTTCTTTCGGTGCTTTCCTCTTAGGAGCATGTGCTCAACTTACTTGCGCTGGTCTTAGATTTGCCTTCAGTGGATCGGGAAATTCGGCTGTTGGACCTTTT